GATCAGCAGACGAGTCACGGCCTTAACCTTCGTGCAATAGATTGATCTTAGATCCAACACCACACAAACTGGGTTTCAGTACGTTTGTGGGTCTATGGTCTTCAATCAACAGCTTGGCCAATATACCTCAAGTCAAGCCTTATAGCCCCCCAGGCCGGGTTTAGAGAGGAGTATATAACGCCCAGAACCCATTCCAGGTATGCCCAATCGTCACTACAGCACGAGGAATGATGTTGCCTTCTCTGTGACCCACATTTGAGGCCCGCGTCTCTGGCCTGGCGAAGAAATTATTGCGGTCGGCAATTCTATTGTCACTGATTAAACGTTTTCTTTCTCTGAAGTTCTGGGTAACTTTTTAAATTTTTTCTTGTTATTTTTTCTTCGTTAAATCATTAATTTGATTACAAAAAATAAGTTTGAATTAATTGTTATAAATTATTTTATCGTTATTAGATATTCTTGGAGGAGTGATATCACTAATTATCTACTTCATCGGTAGATAACGTTTCTACCTCAGGGAATAGGGTCTCTTGCGAACCATTTGTAGAAATATTTCTACCTCACACAAGACAGCCTCGTCACCTACATTTGTGTCTGGACTTAACAAGAAATATTTCAAATATTTAAGTAATATTTAAAAAAAAACTGCTCTATGTTGCCATAAACTCTTGTAATTACTTCTAACCTCACCTGCGACACCTGTTACATTTTCTTGTTTAAAGAAAGTAACTCTTTTAACTTGTAAATTTAATTATTAAAGTAACTCGTGAATAGATATTTTCTAGTTTAAAGTAACTCTTTTTGACTTGTTCGACTTGATACGATCTTTTTATGTATAATGTGTATGTATAATTAACCTGTTTGATGTATAATTGTGTATAATGACTCAGTATAAGTGTTTTCTGAGGCGCTTGAGCTTCTTCTCAGGTCTATTATTTATTTGTTATTTGATTTATGCAAAGTTGTAAAAAATAAATAAATATATAAAGTTCCAATTGTGATTTTATCTGACATAAAAACATAAGAATTAAGTTTTTTCTTAAAAAAAGTCGATCTATTTACTATAGTTCCAAAAATTCATATATATATGTCTGACCTACGCCTGATAATAATAATAATTAAAATAATATATTAATAATAATAATTACTGTAAAAAATAATAATGGTCTATAATAATAATAATAATCTATTTATGAATTAGTTTATATTTAAATTTATGGTAATTAGCTTATTCAATCAATATGAGAGCAAAGTAGAATGAAGGATTCTACTTCATTCTACTTTACTCTGATGAAGGAGATGTAGCCGAAAACGCATTAAGCATTCTCTATTTTTCACATGTGGTTTTTCCGCACACACACACACACACACACACACACACACACACACACACACACACACACACACACACACACACATACACACACACACACACACACACACACACACACACACACACACATATATATATATATATATATATATATATATATATATATATATATATATATCTGAAAACTCACACCCCAGAAGTGACTCGAACCCATACTCCCACAACTGGTATGTACAGGGACGCCTTAATCCGCTTGACCATCACGACCGGACATAAGGAAGTGATAGCCGAGGCTATATGAACCACTTCCCCGCCGGCACTCGGATGGTAATCTTGGGCATAGCATTTTATCAAATCACCTCATTCTTTGGGGCACACGTGAGGAACACAAATGCAAACAAGCCTGAATGGTCCCCAGGACTATATACAACTGAAAACTCACACCCCAGAAGTGACTCGAACCCATACTCCCACAACTGGTATGTACAGGGACGCCTTAATCCGCTTGACCATCACGACCGGACATAAGGAAGTGATAGCCGAGGCTATATGAACCACTTCCCCGCCGGCACTCGGATGGTAATCTTGGGCATAGCATTTTATCAAATCACCTCATTCTTTGGGGCACACGTGAGGAACACAAATGCAAACAAGCCTGAATGGTCCCCAGGACTATATACAACTGAAAACTCACACCCCAGAAGTGACTCGAACCCATACTCCCACAACTGGTATGTACAGGGACGCCTTAATCCGCTTGACCATCACGACCGGACATAAGGAAGTGATAGCCGAGGCTATATGAACCACTTCCCCGCCGGCACTCGGATGGTAATCTTGGGCATAGCATTTTATCAAATCACCTCATTCTTTGGGGCACACGTGAGGAACACAAATGCAAACAAGCCTGAATGGTCCCCAGGACTATATACAACTGAAAACTCACACCCCAGAAGTGACTCGAACCCATACTCCCACAACTGGTATGTACAGGGACGCCTTAATCCGCTTGACCATCACGACCGGACATAAGGAAGTGATAGCCGAGGCTATATGAACCACTTCCCCGCCGGCACTCGGATGGTAATCTTGGGCATAGCATTTTATCAAATCACCTCATTCTTTGGGGCACACGTGAGGAACACAAATGCAAACAAGCCTGAATGGTCCCCAGGACTATATACAACTGAAAACTCACACCCCAGAAGTGACTCGAACCCATACTCCCACAACTGGTATGTACAGGGACGCCTTAATCCGCTTGACCATCACGACCGGACATAAGGAAGTGATAGCCGAGGCTATATGAACCACTTCCCCGCCGGCACTCGGATGGTAATCTTGGGCATAGCATTTTATCAAATCACCTCATTCTTTGGGGCACACGTGAGGAACACAAATGCAAACAAGCCTGAATGGTCCCCAGGACTATATACAACTGAAAACTCACACCCCAGAAGTGACTCGAACCCATACTCCCACAACTGGTATGTACAGGGACGCCTTAATCCGCTTGACCATCACGACCGGACATAAGGAACCGGACCGGACACTCCCAGTTGTGGGAGTATGGGTTCGAGTCACTTCTGGGGTGTGAGTTTTCAGTTGTATATAGTCCTGGGGACCATTCAGGCTTGTTTGCATATATATATATATATATATATATATATATATATATATATATAAAAGCCTGAATTTTGGTTAATAAATAATACAACTCAAGACATGTTTCTCATTATTTCTCACAGTGAACTACGGTGAGAACAACAACAGTGAAGGAGAAAGCCACGTGTGTGAGACGGTGGGAAGTCAGGTATCCAGTACTGAGACGGTTTAGAGGAAAATATAAGAAAACTCCAGCAATAAAGTAGCCACTCTGGAGATGGCTGAAAGAGTTCTAAGAAGCTGGCAGTGTGTTACATTAGAAAGGAGATGCTATATGCAGGCGATGAGTCACAATAACGTGGCTAAAGTAAGTTGACCAGACCACACACTAGAAGGTGAAGGGACGACGACGTTTTGGTCTGTCCTGGACCATTCTCAAGTCGATTGTGAATGGATGAAGTCGATCATTCACAATGGACTTGAGAATGGTCTAGGACGGACCGAAACGTCGTCGTCCCTTCACCTTCTAGTGTGTGGTCTCGTCAACGAGATGCTATAGGCCTAATGTGTCTGACGACGGACGGAGGGAATTATCAAGGGAAAGCACCAAGCCATTACGACTATATAGCACTGGGAAGGGGGGGTCAGGATAAGGATTTAAGATAGGACGGGGGGGAAAAGGAATGGTGCCCAACCACTTAGACGGTCGGGGATTGAACGCCGACCTGCAGGAAGCGAGCCCGTCACTCTACCGTCCAGCCCAAGTTGGACGGTAATACAGGACGCGTTTATACGTATTTCTCGAAAATCCATCCACCGACCAAGACGGGAAGGGCACTCACTTCCTTCAACGGTCCGTGGAGTGCTTCCCAAGAAGTTGAAACGTCACGCAACATGTGCTTCTTGATGCTTGGAAAGAAATCACCTAAAGCCGTAGAGAGGTGCCGTTGTCCAGGACCCCCCCCCCCTGTAACTCTATCATGGTGACCAATTGTAATGCAAGAATTATAAGATCTAAACAAACTAGCTGGGCATCAGGCTGTAAGAAGCCGCGTCCAACAGCCTGGTTGACCAGTCTAGCAACGAGAAGGCCTCAACCCGTCCTCTTAAAAATAACGTCACTTTTCGCTGGTATGCGCGCTATGGCCAAATTTGGACGTAATTTGAAATGAAATTGACTCACAAAAGTGATGTACTGTTCCGTTTTCTGTTTGAGTCGTAACGGCTGCGGGGATCTTGAGTCCAAGTACTTTGGCAGATCAAGCCATACTGCATCGCTACAAATTCACTTATATTCGGCGAGGCTTAGGGCAGCAAGGCGGGAGAACCACTGCAATATGAAGGTTTGTAGCTTGAGATACGTGCCTGTTGCTAACATATGGGTTGCTAATAGAAAATCCCCTTCATGGAAAGCCTTCACCACTGTGAGGCGAGGAATCTCACGTTGTGCTGGGACTGCAAGAGAAACCCACTTGGTAATGCAGTATTAAAAGCAAGGATCGTCTACCCCCCTGCAAAAGTTGTCTAGGTAATCTGGCAGCAATTCTTTATCATGTGATCGGATGTTGAGAAGACTAAGAAGAAGGGTAGAGAGATCTGTGTGGCTGTGCGTGCACTGAGGCCACCGAGTCTGACAGAAAAGGGAGCATGTTTACAATGCGGATCATTGATAAAAGATGAAAAGCTCTTTTTTTTAGCAGAGATTTCAGTAAGCGATTGTATTCACCTAGCGAGATGTTGTGGGATGCCAAACCTCTCAGAAAGTAGGTTAAGCTTGGAAAGGTCAAGCAACTTGTGAAAATGTGTGTATTTTACTATTTGTATCTGCAAAATCGAGCTATTAGCTCTTGGACCCCGCCTTTCTAACCAATCTCTGTTTTTTCTATAATGTCTACTACATATATATCTCTCTAACCCTCTGTAACATATATTTAACTGTGTGTGTGTGTGTGTGTGTGTGTGTGTGTGTGTGTGTGTGTGTGTGTGTGTGTGTGTGTGTGTGTGTGTGTGTGTGTGTGTGTGCATGCATGCGTGCGTACGCACGCACAGTTCGTTTTCAGAACTAAGCATTATTATACTAAGAAAAAAATCGCAAAATATAACGAGAACCCAATAATAATAATAATTAATAACAATCAAAAAATATATAATAATACGTAGGAATAATAACACTATTAACAGCAACAATAAGAGCATGATGAGCAATAAGAGACTGAGCTGTGGTAGCCCCAAGCCCTCCCAACACCTCCCACATAACACCAACACAAAACCTCTTGTTTTAAAAGCCTCATCATCTCCCACACACTAAAATTTACCGTGTAAGTATACGAGGCTTTCTTTCCCCCCCCCCCCCACACCGCCACCACCAGCCATGTGGTGTTCTGACATGTTCCCTGGTTGATACCTGGTTGATACCTGGTTGATACCTGGTTGATACTTGGTTGATACCTGGTTGATACCTGGTTGATACCTGGTTGATACCTGGTTGATAGCTGGTTGATGGGGTTCTGGGAGTTCTTCTACTCCCCAAGCCCGGCCCGGGGCCAGACTTGACTTGTGAGTCACTAAACCACAGTTTACTTCCGATCTGCCTGCTTACCTATACATTCCTACCTATTTAACCTACTTTCCTACCTGTTTGCCTTTCTGCCTCTACGATAGTCTACTGCTTTAACCTACTTGCCTATGCCTCCCTATAACTGTCTACGGTCCTGCCTTCCTATGGCGCTTCCTATTTTAATGCATTCCTATTTCTTCCTATTTTCAGGCATTCCTATTCCTTCCTATTTTCAGGCATTCCTATCCCTTCTGATGACCACTCACGACGCATCTCCCGACTGTGCCTATCTACCTGATTAACTACCGAGTCTACCTAACCTACATGCGTATCAATCGGCACTCTCTACATATTTGCTTATCTACCCACTTTACCTACCAGCTTATCTACCAAATTTTCCTGTCATTTTGTATACCAACTATATTCACCATCCAGCTTACTGTCTGACTTGATATACCTACATATCTACTGGAATATCTACCTGCTGATATACAGACTCTACCTCCCTGCTTATCTACTGGCTGTATCTACCTGCTGATATACAGACTCTACCTACTTGCTTGCTTATCTACCGAATGTAGCTATCAGCCTATATACAAACTAAACCTATTTTTTAGCTTATCTATCGACTCAACCCCACCATACTTGCTTATCTACCGAATTTATCTACCGAACTATTACATTTCAAAGCACCTATTTCCAACGTGCTCCATAGACCTAACACACACACACACACACACACACACACACACACACACACACACACACACACACACACACACACACAGGGGTTATATAAGAGGAGCGTTGTTGTCGCATGCTCCCTAGGCCTAGCTGTGATATATAGACACACACACGTGTCATATAAGAGGAGCGTGACGGCTGGGGAGCGTGCAGTGGGGAGCTGAGCTGTGAGAAGCGAGGGTTGGTGAGACAGTCAGTCAGTCAGTTGGCGCCATGGTGTTGTCTCCTGGTGCTCCAGCAGCGCTCAAGGGTAGGGTGTAGGTGCAGTTTTACGCTTAACTTGGCCCCGTGTGTGTGTGTGTGTGTGTGTGTGTGTGTGTGTGTGTGTGTGTGTGTGTGTGTGTGTGTGTGTGTGTGTGTGTGTGTGTGTGTGTGTTTACTATCTGTGTCAGCAGACTCGAGCTATTAGCTCTTGGACCCCGCCTTTCTAACCAATCTATTTTGTTTCCTCTATTATGTCTACTACATATGTTTCTCTCTAACACACACACACATACACATCCCTAGGAAGCAGCCCGTAGTCGGTGACTAATTACCAGGTACCTATTTGTTGCTAGGTAGCAGGGGCATCAGGGTGAAAGAGACTATGCCTATTTGTTTCTGCCTCTGCCGGGGATCGAACTCGGGCCCTTTAGGACTACGATTCCAGAGCACTGTCCTCTCAGCCACGAGGCCCCCTAAGAGTGTGTGTGTGTGTGTGTGTGTGTGTGTGTGTGTGTGTGTGTGTGTGTGTGTGTGTGTGTGTGTGTGTGTGTGTGTGTGTGTGTGTGCGCGCGCGTAACTTAATGTGTTGTTGATGTTGCAGGAATGTTGGTGGTGATGCTGGTGGCGACGGCCAGCTCCGCCAGCGAGGCGCAGCGGGCACAGCCTCTTCACCCACAACAGGACCCTCACGAAGCTCTAGCACAACACCAACAGAACTTGGAGCAGCAGCAGGCGCAACAGCAGGCGCAACAGGAGGGCAAAACACAAGAGGTAGAGACGATACAGCAGCAGACACACCAGGAACGGAAACTACAGCAGGAGACGCAGGAGCAGCAGCAGCAACAGGAAGACCGCCCAGAGCAGCAGACGCAGGAGGAGGTGGACACCCGGCTGTTCATCACAGGGGGCAGCGAAACGATGGTAGTGGGCAACTACCCCATGTTCCTGATGGGGATCTTCGCCCTCCTGGTGGGGGCGGCCATCGTGGCCTCCACTGTGGTGGGCGTCAGTGTGCAGGATCCTGATCGCTATTCCGATCTCACGTGAGTCTCACCCTTCCTTTTTACACTGTCCTCGTCAGTTAAGTCACTCTCTCTCTCCACTCCCTCCACCCTCTTTCCCCTGGCACTTTCCTCTGGCACTGACACTCTCAACTGCTGCGTTGTGGGGCTCTCCTGCTTCCTTGGGGCACTGTGACACCTACTGTGACTTACTTCGAGTGAAATCCCTGATGCTATTCTGCTCCTGCTAGCATTTGAGCAGGAGACAAATCGCGCACACACGCACAAGAACACACATATACACCAGATGCAGTAGGCTCAGGAACCTGTACACCAGTTGATTGACAGTTGAGAGGCGGGACCAAAGAGCCAAAGCTCAACCCCTCACAAGCACAACAAGGTGAGTATACACAAGGGTAGCCGGTGAACACAAGTGAACAAGAGTGACGGTATAGAAGTTAACGGCGTCAGAGTAGTGAGGAGGTGGGGCCGGGAGTTGCAACTCAACCCCAGCAAATACACACTAGTATACCCCCATAGAGACTCAAGTCTTCACTTATTACACCTTGTACGTTTGCTGAATCTACATATTCTATTTATCTGCAGTCACTTAATCTATAACTGTTACACGATCCATTAGTCCGTGTGTCAACCTCTGTGCATTCCCGCCAAAACTGGGACGGAGCAGGTGTGCCAACTACTGGCCCATTAACGACAATAAGCCCCATTTATCTCGGGCCTCCCCGTTACCTGCCACCATTACTGTCTATCTCCACATAGAGGAGTGCGGATATATGGGTGACGCGCGTTTTCTGCGGACCGTTGTTGTCGTCGGCAGATGGCGCCCCGGATCCGGCTTTCCACATGCTTGGTGGAACAGAGGCGAGGCTCCGCGGTCTGGTGCTTATGCTTGGGGAGAGAAACTTTGGGAATTAGGACTCTTTTGTGTGTGTTTGTGTGTGTGTGTGTGTGTGTGTGTGTGTGTGTGTGTGTGTGTGTGTGTGTGTGTGTGTGTGTGTGTGTACTCACCTAGTTGTGTTTGCGGGGGTTGAGCTCTGGCTCTTTGGTCCCGCCTCTCAACCGTCAATCAACAGGTGTACAGATTCCTGAGCCTATCGGGCTCTGTCATATCTACACTTGAAACTGTGTATGGAGTTCCTGGACTGTGTGTGTGTGTGTGTGTGTGCTTGCCTATCAGTGACTACGGTGGTAGTTGGGGTCTTGCTCCTGGTGCCCCGCCTTCGAGCATTGTTCTACCAACTGCGTGGCGGAGGGGTCGAGACCTTCACTCCAGCAAGAGAAAGTCCTGTCATACTCCGTCACCGTCGTGGCTTTGGTTAAGTCTTTGCGAGAGGGGAATCAATGTGATCTCTGGGTACTGCCTCTGCGTCACAGCAGCAGCAGTAGCAGTAGCAGCAGCAGCAGCAGTAGCAGCAGCAGTAGTAGCAGCAGTAGTAGTAGCAGCAACAGCAGCAGCAGCAACAACAACAACAACAGCAGCAACAACAACAGCAGCAACAGCAGCAGTAGGAGCAGCAGCAGCAGCAGCAACAGCAGCAGCAGCAGCACAGCGGTATGGGGCGGCGGCCACTGCGTCAACTGCCTGTCTGGGACCGAGTGTGGGTGTGGGGCCTTTGTCTATTATCACTGTCTACCTCCAGTGTTCACCAATCAGTGACTTCCGGGGAGTGAAGTCTCGCTCTTCACTGTAACTCCAGCTGCTCTGTGGGGGGAAGTTTCCTCTTTATCTAAGTCGCTCCAGCTGCTGTATGTGTAGTTTCCTCCTTATAAGTGCACAAACTACCCCTCCTTATAAAAGGAGCGGTAGTTTATGGTCCACCCCATACTCCTCCTGTCCTCTGAGCAGTAGTTTATTGTGCACCCCATACCCAACCTGTGAGCGGTAGCGCAAAAAGAACCACAGTAGTATACAAAGTTTGACCCCTGACCTCAGTAGGTATTGTTTACCTGTAAAAATACAACTAATCACCACACCATATAATTATAATGACAAATAATAACCCAATTTTCAAGTCAAATCAAAGATGGTATTCATAAATCATATATAATTGGGTGAGTTTGTATAAAAAGTAGAGTATATTAGTTATATAAGTCTTAATGACAGCCTAGCATGTAGACATTGTCAGAGCCAGAATCATGGAATTAAAATATATTAGTATATATATAAATTGGAGGTAGATTCTTGCTTCTGCTTTAGTGGCTATACGTGTCCACTGTACCGGAGGTTGTGTCCCGGTGTCCACTGTACCGGAGATTGTGTCCTGGTGTCCACTGTACCGGAGGCTGTACCATCGTGTCTGCCTCCGTCTGATCACAGTAACTTACTGTACTACCTCCGTCATATTCACCTGTCATCATCCAGTAAGACTCCATCTTCACCTCCACGTAATGACAGTCTCTCTCTCTTGTCATACGCCAAACCTTAACCCGGCAGAAGATGGGTGAGAACAGTGGTTATGTCAACCGGTTAAATGATACATTGAATTTGTTCCACTAGATCCACAAGGGACATTTTCAAGTGCCCGATGCCGTCATTTTCTTTCAAATGGTGAATATGACTGTATTAGTAAATGGATTTAAAATAACTTGCAGATAACACACAGAAATCACAATTCCGTGACGCAGGTTCGAATCCTCGTCACGGCCCTTGCGGATTTGTTAACTTGCAAAAGTTTCACTAAGGATGTGTAGTGCGTTGCTGACGCTGCAACCATTGACCTGAGAGCGACCTTCCCCGTGCAACACAATTAGTGTTTCAAACAGCCATCATTTTGACTTTTTTCTTCTATGTGTTTTTCCGTGTTTTTTTTTTTTGCTGTTTGAGTTGTTCCCCCGTGACGCCAGATTCCAGTGGCGTTCATTCCATTCCAGATTCACGATTCATATTGGTGATAAATTCATCAAACCATTGTTGGTGTATTTCAGGTTGTTTATAAACAAGGTGGTTTGTGATCTCTTGTAACGCGTTGACAATACAGTTTATTGTAGCGAATAAACTGTATTGGTTATCTTGAGGTTATCTTGAGATGATTTCGGGGCTTTAGTGTCCCCGCGGCCCGGTCCTCGACCAGACCTCCACCCCCAGGAAGCAGCCCGTGACAGCTGACTAACACCCAGGTATCTATTTTACTGCTAGGTAACAGGGGCATAGGGTGAAAGAAACTTTGCCCATTGTTTCTCGCCGGCGCCTGGGATCGAACCCAGGACCACAGGATCACAAGGCCAGTGTGCTGTCCGCTCGGCCGACCGGCTCCTCTCCTGGTGGAGAGGTTTATTTGTCATGTCTCTTGTGTCATCTCTGTTGCAGTGTCATGATGGTTTGTCATGTCTCTTGTGTCATCTCTGTTGCAGTGTCATGATGGTTTGTCATGTCTCTTGTGTCATCTCTGTTGCAGTGTCATGATGGTTTGTCATGTCTCTTGTGTCATCTCTGTTGCAGTGACATGATGGTTTGTCATGTCTCTTGTCTCATCTCTCTCTTGCAATGACAAGACGTTCTGTCATGTCTCTTGTCTCATCTCTCTCTTGCAATGACAAGACGTTCTGTCATGTCTCTTGTCTCATCTCTCTCTTGCAATGACAAGACGTTCTGTCATGTCTCTTGTCTCATCTCTCTCTTGCAATGACAAGACGTTCTGTCATGTCTCTTGTCTCATCTCTCTCTTGCAATGACAAGACGTTCTGTCATGTCTCTTGTCTCATCTCTCTCTTGCAATGACAAGACGTTCTGTCATGTCTCTTGTCTCATCTCTCTCTTGCAATGACAAGACGTTCTGTCATGTCTCTTGTCTCATCTCTCTCTTGCAATGACAAGACGTTCTGTCATGTCTCTTGTCTCATCTCTCTCTTGCAATGACAAGACGTTCTGTCATGTCTCTTGTCTCATCTCTCTCTTGCAATGACAAGACGTTCTGTCATGTCTCTTGTCTCATCTCTCTCTTGCAATGACAAGACGTTCTGTCATGTCTCTTGTCTCATCTCTCTCTTGCAATGACAAGACGTTCTGTCATGTCTCTTGTCTCATCTCTCTCTTGCAATGACAAGACGTTCTGTCATGTCTCTTGTCTCATCTCTCTCTTGCAGTGACAAGACGTTCTGTCATGTCTCTTGTCTCATCTCTCTCTTGCAATGACAAGACGTTCTGTCATGTCTCTTGTCTCATCTCTCTCTTGCAATGACAAGACGTTCTGTCATGTCTCTTGTCTCATCTCTCTCTTGCAGTGACATGAAGTTCAGTTCCTCTGATTTTTCTTTTCACAAGACGCTAGCATTTCCTTGGAACTCAAGACCCTTAGCTCCGAGCCCCGTCTATAATATATATATCGAGGTGACATACCTTAATATTTTATCATCCTTTACCTTCTTATTTACCAATATGTTCATTAAGAATCCAACAGATGTCACGGATGATTATAAAGAGAATTTACAGCTCTTATAAACGATAAATAGGAACAAATTCTGAGTTAACTTTCCGATAATTGTTCAGCAGGTATTTAACCATTGTTCAATATGTGTGCAACAGTTGTTCAGAAGTTCAACATCTTCCCATTTTCCTTTTCTATAACAGTACCAACGGGATCAGAGTACCGTCGTACGACCAGATTGCTGACGTTGTCAGACGGTACTTGGAGAGAGGTACCGTCGTATACGACTAGAGGATGTCAGCACCTGTGTCAGCTGTACCCCAGGGGAGCTGTGTCAGCTGTACCCCAGGGGAGCTGTGTCAGCTGTACCCCAGGGGAGCTGTGTCAGCTGTACCCCAGGGGAGCTGTGTCAGCTGTACCCCAGGGGAGCTGTGTCAGCTGTACCCCAGGGGAGCTGTGTCAGCTGTACCCCAGGGGAGCTGTGTCAGCTGTACCCCAGGGGAGCTGTGTCAGCTGTACCCCAGCGGAGCTGTGTCAGCTGTATCCCAGGGGAGCTGTGTCAGCTGTATCCCAGCGGAGCTATCATTGCTATATTTGTTATATTTTGTAAATAGTCTAAGTATTTACCAGTCATTTGGTTAACGATGTAAATATAACTTGC